GTATTTTGACCCCTCAATGGTAACTCGATCCACCTTGTGAAGTCAGAAGGTGGAACGTCGTTCCTAAAACTGTCAAAATTATGACCTCAAACCCATCATGTTGTAACCTAAAAACATAAAAAACATGTCAACACTTGCAGGTATAACAAGCATCCACGCAACTTGTGGGTATTTAGGGGGAACGAGGGTTGAGAGAAGGGTACTGTAGACCAAAGTAACATTTACAAATTTGAGTTCAGTGGATAGTACTACTATAATTAATTCATAGCAGTAACTTTACCTTTAGCTCCCTTGGCCTCATTACTAGTTCTAGCTTTAGTCCAAGTCAATCCTCGTCTTAGCCCTAGTCTAAGCACAAGCCCCCAACCACGCTAGCCCTAGCACAAACATAAGACTAAGCCGAAGCCCTAGCCCTAGCCCTAGCCCTAGCCCTAGCCCTAACCCTAACCCCATTCCCAGTCCTAGCCTAAGCCTAAGATTAAGCCAAAGGCTAAGCCTAAGCCCTAGCTTAAGTCCTAGCCTTAATCTTAGCTTAAATCTTAGCCTTGGCCCATGTTCAAGCGCAGGTCTAGAAAAAAGTCCAAGTTCTCCACTTTAGCACATCTCCCCCCCCGCTAAAATTTTTTTAACTCCACAAGGGAGACCACGTTCAACGTTTTTTTTACTTTTTGCATCCGGCCCTGCCCTACGGTACCAAAAGATTATGCTAATTACACCTGCTAAACCTACAGTATTTACTCATTTCCTCAGCTTCATAAAACCGCCTCGTGTTTTTTTTGTCTTCGAACTTTTGACAGCTTTCAGCTCAATTTTCAATTCTGAGTAATATGTCGTCGGATATTGATCTGAACCGGATATTGCGTCGACTTGTTTTTCTCTTGTTTTTTATTTGTCTAAACCAAAAATAAGAGATTTCATAGACCAAAGGTTACTGTACTATATAAATCAGAAATACCGATGTCTTGAGTGCATGTTTATAAAAAGAGATAATAAGTCTGGATAAACATTCTACGTAGTGCTCTAAAAATAGTGAACTAAACTGGTTTTAATAAAATAAAAAAAAATTAGCTACAATAAGCTTTAAAAGTGAGCCGTAGAGTTATTTGACTGTGGCTACGGCTATAGCTCAAGCTTGGGTTGGGGCATAACCTAAAACTTGTGCTACAGCTTAAGCTAGAGTTATAACTAGACCTGAGGCTATGCCTAGGGTCAAACCAAGCCCACTTTTAAGGTCCGGCCCAGGACCGGGGCCCAAGGTTTAGGCCCGGCACGTTTTTATTTTTACCATAGACCGGCCCGGCCCAACCGAATTTTATTACGTGCAACGGGCCGGGCTTTTCAATCCGGGCCGAGCCTACACGGCCTGTTTCTCACCCCTAGCTATAGCTTAGGCTTAATCTACCGCTAGAGCTAGAGTTAGAACTAGGGCTACGATTACGCTCTGAGCTAGCGCTCTGGGCTAGGGCTCTGGGCTAGGGCTCTGGGCTAGGGCTCTGGGCTAGGGCTCTGGGCTAGGGCTCTGGGCTAGGGCTCTGGGCTAGGGCTCTGGGCTAGGGCTCTGGGCTAGGGCTCTGGGCTAGGGCTCTGGGCTAGGGCTCTGGGCTAGGGCTCTGGGCTAGGGCTCTGGGCTAGGGCTCTGGGCTAGGGCTCTGGGCTAGGGCTCTGGGCTAGGGCTCTGGGCTAGGGCTCTGGGCTAGGGCTCTGGGCTAGGGCTCTGGGCTAGGGCTCTGGGCTAGGGCTCTGGGCTAGGGCTCTGGGCTAGGGCTCTGGGCTAGGGCTCTGGGCTAGGGCTCTGGGCTAGGGCTCTGGGCTAGGGCTCTGGGCTAGGGCTCTGGACTAAAGCTAGGGCTACTTTTCCTTCCCTATCATATTATCCTAATAAACTAAACTGACCTTTTGAACTACTTATCAAATTCTACTGTATGCTACATCTGACACCTGAGAAAAAACTTTTGAACTTTTTTTAAGTAAGCGCATTCAGCATGAACAACTTTGGCATAAACAAACACGAAAAGGAAACATGCCTTGTATAAAAAGTGTAGGCGAATTCATAAAGAGAGTAATAAAAAGAGTGACAAACTTGTTTGAAATGTAATAGTACACGTATATATTGGACTTATAAACATAGTCATAATTGGCTATGTATAGGTATAAAAATGAAAGAAATTAGCTAAAAATAGGTTGAATAACAGGAAATTTTAATAAAGAATGTCATAAAAACATAAAATAAAGTAGGTTAGGCAATGTCATAAGAAGTAAGGTTAGAGGTAGTGTAACTCAAAATTGCTTAAAATAGCTAAAATAACCCGTGATTTATCAGTCTTTTGTTAAAAATAACATTAAAATTTTAAAGTTATAAACAAAAACAAGTTTTTTAGACCTCTTTTGACCTTGTGTTAGGTTTTTTTATAAATTCAATAGAGTTAAAATTAGTTATTGAGTCAAAAATAGTATGTCAATAAGTGAGTTATTAAAAAATATATATGACTATATTTACTTATGAATAAAAACTTATGTCATATGAAAAACGTCACAGTAAAAGACTTCGAAGTACGGTTAAATACGATAAACAGTATATGTAGCTAAAGTCGGGTAAGGTGAGGCGAGGGTAACCGCCACAAAATCAAAAGAGATAGAGACTTAATTTGCCAACCTAATCCTATAACCACAAATAGATTTGCTTCCAATCTTAGCCTAAACCCGAAGCACTATCCAACCCTATTAATAGCCGAAAAAATACCCCTAACCCTAAATTCAACCAAAGCACTAGCCATAATGCTAATACTAGCCCTAGTGCCGGCCTAGCCTTTATCCAACTCGTTCTCCTAGCCTAAGCGCTTGCCTAAGTCCTAGTCCTACCCTAGCCTGACTTCTAGATTTTGCCGTAGCCTAAGACCTACAACTAGCTTTACTTATACCACTAGCCTGAATCTAAGCTCTAGAACAACAACTAGCCCGAGAACTAGCCCTATAACTAACCGTAGCCTTGACATATTCGTAGCTATCGTTCACACCTTACAATATGTAGTTAGCCCAGGCCCAACCTTACCTCTATATTCAGCTTTTTCACTAGCCCTAGCCCCACTACTAGCCCTGGCTCAAGTCCTAGCCCTAATTTTAACCCTAGACTTAGCCTCACTCTAACCAAACCATATTTATCATAGCCCAACATTTTTTTTCCATATTACTCTTACCTAAACTAATGGTCACTTAATCGCATCTTCTGTTTTTTGATTCAGGAATTCGAACCATTAGGCGTGGTACCTCGAAATTCTCCGAAATTGTTGTAATCACGCTTTAATGATTGTAAAAACTGGTCAGACATGGTAGTAAACGCCCAATTTGTTCCGCGGTTTGAAACATGTAAAAACAATTTTGACACACCCAAAACCTAAACCACTTACCGAAGTTGAATGACCTAGTTCTGGTTTTTGTTTACTGTCTTTGTTATAGGTTGTTCTGTCTAGTGTTAAGATTAAAAAGGGAAAAGAACAATACCAAGAGGCATGGGGCAGGGAGGGTAATGGTTAAGATAAGAAAAGAGTATACTACACTACCCTGACCTACCCTATCCTACCCTACCCTACCCCACCCTAATAAACCCTACCCTACCCTGCCCTACCCTACCCTACCTTACCCTACCCTACCCTACCCTACCCTACCCTACCCTACCCTACCCTACCCTACCCTACCCCACCCTACCCTACCCTACCCCCCCTACCTTACCCTACCCTACCCTACCCCCTACCTTACCCTACCCTACCCTACATTAGTATTAGTCCTGCCCTACGCTACCTATCTTGCTCTAGATTAAACTAGCCTGTCCTGACACCCGGCCCGGTCCGACAAAAATTTTGCCCAGGCGCGGCCCGAATGTGTTTACGTGTAAACGGGTCGAGCCTTAACTTTCAGGCCCGACCCTTTCCTCAGGTCTAGCCCTGCCCTACCCTACCTTACTCTACTCTAACATGCCCTACCTTAACATAGCCTACCCCTACCTCTACCCCACACCTACCCTACCCTTACTTACCCTACCTTACTCTACTCTCCCCTCCCCCGCCCTAAAACAATGTATATTTAGCCTCAATTTTATTGTAAAAAACCAACCGTAAAATGAAACAACTGGTTGATGAGTAACATGTGTCAAAAACACGATAGTTTTGCAGCGAAATCTTGAAACTTGACATCCGTGACGCAGGCCAAGAACGTGCTTTTGCTCTTCACACGTTCGTGGTTTTTCGGTCGCTCCTGCAAAATTCAAGGTGTTTTTTCTTAGCAAACTCTTACTGTAACCAAGTCTGAGTGGGTAGATAACTTATATACTACAATCGTAAAATTCGAAAAAAGGTCAGATTAAAACGAAATATAAAATAAGCTAAAACTCATTATACTGAATCAAAAAAAGCTCAATATACAAAATATAGACAAGATAATAATGCCTTTAACAAAAGCCTTCAAATATACCAAAACTATCCATCTTCTTTTATCAAATTTTATTTTACATACAAGAACAACGTTATTTAATCATTCATATATTATAAATTATACCGGTACACTTAAATAGGCAATAAATTACAAAAAAGAAAATAAAAAAATAATAAAAAAAAGCAACAAGAAGAATAATAAAAGTAAGAAGAATAACAAGAAAGATACAAATAAGAACACGAAGAAAATCAAACAAAAATACAAAATATGAAAAGAAAACTTCAAAATATGACTATGTTACAGTATGGCAATATTTTATATACAGACTACAATATGAGATGACAAAAGTTAAACAAAGAAAACAATAAATTTAATTCATTAAGGCCAATACTTTTAATCCAGTTTTTCCTCTTTTTCTTCTTTCTTTTCATCTTTTACTTCTTTCTTTTCATCTTCCGCTTCTTCTATATCTTTTTTAATTTCTTCCTTTTCCTTTTTCTTAAAAATAAATAGCGAAATCATTCAAAAAAGTATCAAAATCAATCAATATTCATCCATTTACTCCCTCTTCTACCTTAATTTTCATCCTTTTCTTCTTTCTTTTCTTCATTTTCCTTCTTCAGTTCTTTTTCTTCCTTTATCCCATTCTTTTCAACTGTCCTTCCTTCATTCTCCTTCTTCTCCTCATCACTATTATCATTGTTGGTTTCTTGTCTAAACACCACCTTGCCCTCCATATTTCTAGCCACTTCTCGGCCGTTTTCCATCGAGCATGTCACCATTTCTGGGTTTGATTCCTTTTCTTTTTCCGCTTGTTCCTCAAAGTATTTTTGTAGATTCTCTTTGGATTCTTTCGAGTATTCACTGACTCTGATTCCCACTGCTTCCAGGACCTCGGTCAGCTTTTTCGAGTAGTCCATGTGGCCTTTTATCTACAATAATATATAGTTTTAAAGGGTTTTAGTAAAAGTAGCGTTAAGGGGTAAAAGTAGGGATAAGAGTAACAGTAAGAATAGGGTTAAAAGTAATGATAAAGCAAGGTAGGGTACGGTACGGTACGGTAGGGAAAAATAGAAGAATAGAGCCAAGGTAGGGGTAAGGGTAGGAGTAAAGGTAACAGTAAAAGTACAGTAATCCACCTACAATATGACTCAAATTGATGTTGACAATCTTCTTCTCATCCTTGACAATAACCGGTCCAGTACCAGCGATCGTAAATTGCACACTCATAGTACGATATAAGAACTTTAATAACCAGTCAGTGGTACAGTATCCATTAATGATGCGACCTCCAACAACCGTACACAGCTGCTTCCACATCTTCGGTGAGGCACTTACTGGTGCTCCGAGTAGTACTACGTCTTCTATTATACCTGAAAATAAGCAAAATGAGTGAAATGTCAATTGAAAATGGCAGAACGTTTATATTTTCATATTTTTAAATAGCAAAATCCATATTTTTGGTTTTTTAGATAACAAAATCAATATTTTTTAATAGTTTAAGAAACAAATTGACTATATTTTAGTATTTTAAGTAACAAAATGACTATATTTTAGTATTTTAGGTAACAAAAACCTCATTTTAACCAAAAAAATCAATATTTTTATTGCTTTAAGTAACATTTCAAGAATGCCCACCTCTACAATCATCCCTCTTGCTCATAGCCAACAAACAATGATATATTACTCTAGCTCCCAAGGAGAAGCCGATCAATGTGATCGGTCGTTTACCATGAGCCCTAGTCAATAACACATCAGCTAGTTGTTCGCCGACTTCGGCCGCTCTGCTGACACAAACGTTCCATGGGTTATCGATGACTGAGGCTGATGATACCAGGACTAAAGGCCAGGCTATGGCTGTCATTAGGCCTAAAATATGATTTAAAATTTTATTGCCATGCCCTAAAAAAGCCTCCCCCTTCCTTAAAAAATATTTTACCACGCCCAAACTGAAAACAATTTTAATACAACAATTAAAAAAACGTATTTTACTATACTTTAGAAAAAAAACAACTCCTCAAAAAATGTTTTACCACGCCCAATGCAAAATTTTGACTTTTACTACCCCCCCCCCCCGTCAAACCTAAAAAAGCAAAACTTTACCACGCCCTATTCAAGAAATACGCTTTTAAGACTGCCTAGCTATAAACCACAGATTTTACCACGCCCAATCAAAAACCTCGTTTTACCATCCCCAATCTATTTAAAAAACCACCTCTCCCTTCCAATTTTACCACGCCCAACCTACCAGCAAGTGCAGTTTCCATCAAAGTGTGTTGAATAGCGTATGAAATTGCAAATGACATTAGGTAATCAATAGCCTTTCCCAGTTCGATCAAGTATTTACTTTCGTATCTCAATGTATATTGCTCTTTGGCCAACATCAAATGTCTCCACGGCATTTTAAAGGCTTTATCATTGTCCTGAAAATTTTAATTTAGAAAATTTGTTACCTAAAATACCACAAAATTGTCTATTTCATGCCTAGAATAGCAAGAAGCCTGAACTTTATTACCTAAATTTAAAAAAACTGGTCGATTTCATGCCTAAAATACCAAAAGAATACAGTTTTGTTACCTAAAGTACCAAAAAAATGTTCATTTTCATGCCTAAAATAGCAACAAAACTCATATTTGTTAACTAAAATATCAAAATTCAACTATTTTATTCTTTTTTCTCCAACTACACATGGCCATACCTCCTCATCAATCCATCCACTGACACACAAAACACAACTCAGACTTCGCTCTTCTGTCAGACTCTCCACCACGAATTCATCAATGGCCCCGACCCGTTTTTTCATTTTGTACCCAGCCAAACCAGCACCAGCAGCACCAAAAATAGAACCCATAATAGCTGCGCCAGTAGTTGTAGCCAGTCCAGCCACCGCTCCCGTGCCGACAACCATGCCAGCTGCTCCGGCGACTAATGGCGCTGCAAGGCCTCCAGTTAATCCTAGAATGTTCGGAGCGTCATTACGTTTCATAGTGATATAGGTTTGGCACTAACGGGTAGGTTCAAAATATGCTTCTCCTTACCTATTAGAACTCCACCAACACTACCAGCAACTCCAATTAACGCGTATCGTTTAAACTTCTTCATCTTTGAATTCCGCTCCCTTGTAGCCTTGGCGGTGCTGAAATTTGATAAAACTATGATTAAAACATCAATATACTCCATTATTTTAACATTATTTATAAGATCACAATATTTACTACACAATACCAGCACAATCACAACAGTTTTACTATCACAACACCTTAAACTAACCCTTCTTTTAGATTGTTCCTGCAAGTACAGCAATATTACTCAAGTGTAAGATCATTTTTTGATGTTTATACTCAATTTTTAGTATAATAACGTATAAAAATATCTTTTCAGATATCATAAGACTATTTCAAAAATTAATATAGTACTGTAAACCTACTCAGTTTCAACATAATCCTGATTCATCAACGAATACACCAACGTGTCTTCAATTTCCTCGAATGAATTCCATTGAACGCCCAGCAGCGCACCAGTATGGCGTATTAGTACTCGATGTCTACTGTCATATGAACCTACAAACATCATTTTAACTTTTTCGATACGATTCTAGGTAATTTATTTGGTCTTACAAAAGGTATGCATCAATATATAAGTAAGTTATAAAGTCATATCACACTTAAAGGAAAAGCCCCATTTTGTACCAATTTTGAAAAACGTGTTCGAAATCACAATAACACAATTAAAACACATTATCTTATTCACCTTCCCCAAAAAAAAATGAAATTTTCGTCAACCCCATCAAAAGTTATGACCAATTTTATATTATCATACCTCGTTCCAGTAGTGTAAGTAGAAAACTGCCCAAAAGTGAGATCGTCCCATTCTTTTTTACAAACTCAGCTGCTTTTATGGCACCAACAAGCTCTGGAATTTCTTCTTTTTCATTATCAACCACCTTTTTTAGCTCCACCATGTAGTCGGTGACATCCAGGTTGGCTACTACAATATCGTTGGATTCGGCGTTGAATTGACTGAAAATTGAAATTTTAGTTTTTATCTTAACTAGAAGACCAATATTTAACTACCTTTACCAAAAAATGACGTTTCTTATCATAAATCCGTCATTATGACACCTTTTTTAAAATTTGCCCTAAAAATGTCTAAATTTTGCCATTTTTTCAAGTTTAAATCCAAAATTCGAAGTGATGTTATCCAAAACTAGTCGAAATGCATTCAAAAATATCTTAGATTACAATCAAAAACAAATGACGTTAACTTACGCTGCAAGATCATCCTTATTTGCCTCGAAGTCCCACTTCAACACCAACATCAACACTTTGGCCAAGCTTTTTCGGCAGTCCTCGTCCAAGTTCTTGCTTAACTCACTTTTTGCCAACAATATATGCTTTGGTAGGGCATCTGATTATCAAAAATGTCATTTAAAACAAGTTTTCATTTTTTTCACTAAAAATCACCAAAAATGTGGATATTAAGGTAGATAATATAGGAAAAATAGTAATATAAACCTGGCTTTTCCTCTTTCTTCTTGCCACTTTTCCAGAATTTAAACTTTTTACAAACTTTCTTGAATTTACCCATCGGATTCAGCCGGATATGAATAAAAAAATAAAAGAAAGTAAGAGAAACTCAAGTTTTAGGTAACATATTTCATAACTTCAAAATTTATCAAAAAACAAAAGATCAAATTTGACAAAAATATAAAAAAAGCCTTGTACAGCTTATGTAAAAACCATTTTGTCATATTATTTCTCTAGAACTCAGTATGACACAAATAAGTAATATCAACCATGTTAGCTGGCTCTGACAAAAAAGTTTTATAACTAAAATTTTTCAAAAAACTAATAATCAAAATTGACAAAAATGTAAAATATATTCTTTTACATCTGATTTAAAGACCATGTTACATTATCACCACTATGAACTTCAGTACAACAAAAATAAGCTATATTAACCATGACCTACCAAACTCCGATGAAACCGAAGAAACTCGGCTTGGGAACACTTTGAGATCACTTGACGTTGAATCAATTGACATTTCGATCCAATTTCTTTACAGATTCCTTAAACAGCACTCCAAATGCGCTCCAACCAGCACTCAAATCCTTAGGCAGTATCGAAACAAACCCGTGTTGTTGTCTTATATTATAATTGTTAGTGGAAGGGCCCAAAACATTCTGTGCGTCTTGTTTTGAAGGGCTAAATTAGACATTCAAACTCGAGTTTCTTCACAAAGCCGCACGAGATGAATAACATTAAAAAGTTTGAAGTTCCCACAGTATTTATAAAGCTGATGTATTCATAAGTTTCTATGGTGTCTGGAGACAAATATAGTAAAGTATAATGTGAGAAACATCTTAAGACAAAGAACAAAGTCTACTTTATCTCGAACAAGGCCTAATTTATCCTAAAAGCCTACAAAATAAGGTTAAAAGTTCAATTTGGCCGCGCAACATCAAAAAGGTCAAGGTGCACCTACTACAATATGCTTTTCGCCATTTTAAAAACAAATTTTCAGCAAAAATGACGTCCGAATACCAAAAACACACCCTAAAATCAAATAAACATTATAAAATAACAAAGCCAATCCCCTCAAAGTACCAAAAACACTAACTATTACCCAAAAAGCTAAAGTAACTTAGCTTTAACGAGCAGAAAATAAACAAAAACAAGCAGCTGAGCCCGTTCTTGGCCTTTAAAATATTCCTCGTTCCACCATAAACAATATAAATATAATCTATGACCAAATTAATTATATATTTATTCCAAAATTTCGAAAACAATTATCTTACACATCAAAAACCAATGGCTTTCGAGAGACAAACAGCTCAATTCTAAAACTCAAAACTGATTTCAAACAAAATTTATAAAAAGAACGATTGATTATAAACTTTAGAACGTTTTTATCACAAAAATAGACAATACAAACAAGGAATTAGTGGGTTAGAGAGCAAAGAAATTGAGGTAGATATCAAAATTTCCAAATTTTTCGAGGGAAAACCTTGGTTTTCAGTTGAAAATTAAGGTTTTTGACTCGTTTTTCCTCCCAAATTATTGCAAAAACCGGTCACAAGTAATATAGGAGCTCGCAATAACAATACAACAACATAAAAACCCATTTTCCCCTCTGTTACAATCAAAACTCTCGAGGAAACAGAGTAAAACGCAAAAAAAAACAAAATTCGCACATTTGAGCAAAAGATCGTGAGTAAATAAGAGAGCGGGTGGAGAATGCGAGAGAGTGGGTAAAATGATGAGGGTAATTAGAGAAAGTTAGAAGTGAAATGAAGAGGAACGAGTAATTGCCAGAGAACGGGGGTTTAGAGAGAGCGAGCAGAGAGTGAAAGGGCGAAGTGGGAGAGCGAAGGATTGATGGAAAAGCGGCTGTAAAATCCGCGCGGTAGTGAAAAAAGGGGTAGAAAAGTGATAAAAACGGCCCAAAAAGGCAAAAATGGTTAAAGAAAAATTTGGAAAATTTATGGAATTCAATTAGAAACAAGTGCTTTGAAAAAATGCGTTGAAAGAACTTTTATAACACAAAAATTTAATTTAACAAAATAAAATTTTTTTTTTCAAAATCAAAAATTGGGCCTAAAAATAATATTACCAGTTTTATTATAGCTAGGAAGCGGTCGGTTGGATTATACCGAATAAATGGGGAAACACAGATCAAAGAGAAAGAAGAACAGTGAGTTGAAGAGGAAAATGTAAGTTATTTGCTACATTGTCATCGTTTTTAAGCCTACATACTACGTGGCAAGCTCATTTTGACTTAAAAAACCCTTTTTCATTATATAAAACATTTTTCTAATGAAAATTTATTGTCAAAGCAGCTAAAAACCTTATAGTTTAAGTTTAAAGTCTTCAACACACCCATATTTTTGGTTTTGAATGGCCGAAAAATAGGTTTTCTACAAACTTTTTGACCAAAAAACATAATTTTCACAAATTTGTAGGAAGATCACAGATAGACAAGATGATATTCCTGATTGTCCGTCCATTACTTCATTGGAAATCATCGATTCTGACATGTAAGTATAAAAAAAATGAAACTTGCTTTTAAAACTTTTTTAAAACTTTTTTGAAATTTAAAAAAAAAAAACTGAAAAGTAAGTTTTTTAAAGCATGAAAAGTGGTATATAATGACAAAGTTCGGTTTAGATATATTAAGTCATTTCAAAGTTATAGGTATTTGAAAATGACAGGGCCAAAAAAAGTTTGATTATTTTTGGAAAACGGTAGTTTTTATGATATTTACAATACTTTTTGACTGGTTAAAGTACATACATCTTGTAGAGCATAAAACATAACATAAGTGCCTCAAGATTTATTTAAGTATGTTGGGTTGTAACATAGTTACAGCTTGACATAAAGATAAAAAGTCCTAATGTTTCATCAGGATTCGAACTTTTTTTGATTTTTGACATTTTCAAATGATTGTAACTTTGTCATAACTGATAGCATTATTATCAAAACTAAGTTACCTACTCAGCTTTTGACGCTTAACAATATCTATGTACTAGAATTCTTCAAATCAAAAAAAAATTTTTTTGAATTTTTTGGGACAATAGGGTAGTGTAGGGAGTATAATTTATTTGTTAGGTTAGGGTAGTTGTTAGAACTACTGTGAAAAAAAAAATTTAAAAAACATAAACTTTTAAAAATAAATACGTAAAGTCATGCCATTTCCAATACAAGTCTTAAAACAAATTCATGTTTGGTATCAAGCACAACATGCCAATAGATGTTGACATAAGATTGTCATGTTGGATTTGGCAAAGAAAGATATAAATTTGTCATGCAAAGATGACATTTGTTTTTAAATTTAAAATCCCGCAGGAAATGGGTTTGGATTTGATGACAAATGACATTAAAAATTTAGGAGATAGTATTTTAGGCATGGAAGATATTGTTTTAGGCTTATAACTTATGATGAATAACATTTTTAGGCCTATTACTGATAACAAGCTGTTGGAAGAGCCGTCCACAGCCAAGGAGACCAAAAAGAATGAAGAACAGGTCAAAAAGTCAAGTCCAGAATATAAAAGTTGGTTCTTGCCGCCAGATAATGTTAGATCGAACATCTTTAATTGGTAAGGGTAGGGTAGGGTAAGGTAGGGTAGGGTAAGGTAGGGTAGGGTAGGGTAGGGTAGGGTAGGGTAGGGTAGGGTAGGGTAGGGTAGGGTAGGGTAGGGTAGGGTAGGGTAGGGTAGGGTAGGGTAGGGTAGGATAGGATAGGGTACGGTAGGGTAGATAGGGTATTATTATGTTCTATTTTCAGTCAAAGTGATCCAAAAAGTTCGTTAGAGTTTCAAAGCGAAGAAGCAGCTAGTGAGTATCTGCAGTCACAGTATTCGTATGACAGTTACAGTAATCAGTGAGTTTGTAATTTTTTTCGAAAAAAAGCTGGGAAATTTTTAAAGCTTGTCATTTTTGTGGTAACCCGCTTAACTTTAGACCTCTGTTTAACGCTAATAAGATCACGCCAGTCGTTGAAGCGGTTGGCCACACGTTGCTCGAAGCTGTAGTTCAAGGCATCCAACTGGTCAAAATTGGAGTCAAATACCCGGTAAGTGGTGTGGAATGAAGTTTTTTATTAAAATATTGTTAAAATGTAAAATACGCTTCCAAACGTTGTTTTGTTTTACAATTAGGCTTAAGTTTAGGTTTGAGTTTGGGCTAGGACTTTGACTTAAGCTTATGTTTAGGCTTGGGCTGGGCCGTGGGCTTGATCTTCGGCGAATGTTTAGGCTGGGCTTTTTATATTCATCTTTTTTCAGACCCCCTTTCGCCATCTGCCTTGTCATCACAAGTCTCTACTTTTTCAATCCTCTACCTCGAGATCTCGGTAGCAGCGACTGTGGACTTTGTAGTTGGTGTAACTTGGCCACCACTTCACATTGGACTAAGAAACATGGAGAGAATGTTGTTATCATCGGCCAAATGGTTCAGGGAAATGGATGAAATGGGTCAGGCAATTCACTGCGACATGGCCACCTCATGGTGCCAACGGTTCGGCTTGATGTGCGATGTTCAATGCTCTTTTACGGAGTTTACGCTGAACAGAAATCGATAGATATTTGATTATTATTATAGTTGATACGGATCAATAAAGACGATATTTGTAAAATACGGGGTGTTTTTGGGTATCGTTTTAATTAAGAGTATTGCTAGAGGCAAAGAGTTAGGTGAGGAATGTTATAGATCTAACATCTTTAATTAATACAGATAGGATAGGGTAAGGTCAGATAGAGCAGGGTAAGGTAGGGCTGAGTAAAATAGGAAATGGTAAGATAGAACAGGACAAGGGATAAGAACCTTCTTTTTAATGTCTACTCGCTTTGTGGTACCCTTAGGGGTGAAAAACAAGGCGTGTAGGCCTAGCTTAGCGCTACGATTAAGGGTGAACGCTTAGGCTAAGACACGGCAAAGGCATGGCAAGGCAAGGCAAGGCAACTAGAACTAATATGATCATAATTTTGATTTGTTATATTATTTACTATTTTTTAAAGCTACTTAGACTATTTTTTTTACTTTTCCACCTGTCCTATCATACAGAGCCCAAACATAATTTAATTATGATTATAATATTACCATGGCGATACGGTAAAGCCGTGTCTTGCCTTGCTTTAGTCTTATCTTAACCTTTCTTTATCCCTAATACCTCAAAATTCAAAGTTTTCGTAATTACCGTATAAAGTAATACCCTATAGTAACCTACAATACGTGCTAACCATGAGTAAAGTAATTCAAACTCAATGTTGTTCGACTTCCTGGTTTTCGACTGTCCATTTCGGCGTTCGAAAAAGCACGTCGTTTCAGCAAAACACACGCTTGGCCATGAAGCTGTGGAGGCTTTTTCTACCTCCCCGCATCCCCCCATCCCGCACCCATATCCACCCCGTCTTTTCATTTGTGTCCGCGCTCGTTTCCCAAGACAATTCGCAGCGCTTCGACGTTCTGAACAGCTCAATTATAGGATAACATGATGAGGTAGGTGATGGAATGCAAACTTTTTGAAGCTGGTTTAGTCTGTAGTTAGTCTGGTTATGTTAATATTGTTTTTGTTTTGAGTATAATGTCAGTTTTGAGCAAAAATTGCTGGTTTTTTCGAAAAAAAAACGAAAAAAATGCAAAAATTAGGGTGTATTGCATCATGTCTAACATAGGAAATTCGTAGTAAAACATTTGGAAACTACCCTACCCTACCCTACCCTACCCTACCCTACCCTACCCTACCCTACCCTACCCTACCCTACCCTACCCTACCCTACCCTACCCTACCCTACCCTACCCTACCCTACCCTACCTTACCCTACCCTACCCTACCTCATTCTACCTTGCCCTACCCTGTTCTACCTTGCCCTACCTTATTCTACCTTCCTTATTCTACTGCAATGCTACTTTTCGCCCGGACCGGTCCGGAGCGTTTTTCAAAAATCCATTTCAACGTTTTTCAAATCCGGTTCAAACTTCAAGTTTTTAGGTCCGGTCTAAACCCAAAATTTTTAGGTGCAGTTTAGTCCGCAAAACACTGTACCTTGTAGGTTAGCAAACTTTAAAAAGCAATGTAAAAATAGCGTTCTCATCTGTCTGTGAATAAAAAACTATTTTTATTTACGTCCCTCAGACCTTATTTCCTCATTCCTTGGCCAAAAAGCTGTGTTTTCTTTCGAAACGTTCCTTCTTTTCCATGATGCAATGGCTAACGTCCTTGGTCTTTGGCTAACATTATTGTTCCCTGGCTAACTGTTCTGGCCTTAGGCTAACGTTCCTGGGCTTTGGCCAAGCTTCTTGATCTTTGGCTAACGTTTTTGTGCCCTGGCTAACGGTCTTGGTCTCTGGTTAACATTATTGTTCCGTGGCAAACTGTTCTGGCCTTAGGCTAGCGTTCCTTGGCTTTAGCCAATATTCTGGGTCTTAAGTCTACGCTCTGGTCCCATGTTATCGTTCTTGGTTACTGACGTACGTTTTTGGTCCGTGGCTAATGTTCTAGGCTTCTGTATAATGTTCTTAGCTTTTGCCTGAAGTTCTAGGCTTCCCGCGAACGTTCTGCGGTTTTGGCTAACGTTTTTGTGCTCTGGATGACGTTTCTAAAGCTTGGAACGTTAATTTTTGTTTTCTGGGCCACGGAACGTTAGCCACGGGCCAAAATGCTTTTTTCTAAAGATCGCCGTTGTTTACTTATATTCATGGCTTTTGAAACCTTAAATTCAATTTACGTATCTTTCGGGAAGTTGGACGAGAAGTGGCAGTGTTACTTTATTTTTGTGTGTTATGGCACTTTATTGGCAAAATTTATGTTTTAGGTAGTAGAGTAGAGTAAGGCGGGGCAGAGTAGGATAGGGCCGAGTAGGGTAGGGCAAGGTAGGACAGAACCCCTTCAAAAAATAAAACAGATAAAATTGCTATACTCGCAACAATTCTTTAGGTTTGGGTCGACCTTTGGGCTAGGATTCTAAGCTAGGGCTCTGGGCTAGGGCTCTGGGCTAGGGCTCGGAACTAAGGCTCTGGGCTAGGGGTGTGGGCTAGGGCTGTGGGCTAGGACTCAGGGCTAAGGCTCTGGGCTAGGGCTGTGGGCTAGGGCTCTGGGCTAGTGCTCTGGGCTAGGGTTTGGCCTATACCTATATCTACTTGATACAAACTTTTCTGACACCTCATTGACCCAAAAACTAATATTAACCTTGTCACAACTCAAAGATTCCTCCTTCTGACAATGTTTTTTTAACCTCGTAACCCACGTAGCGTCTCGTCACCTTCCTCTCCTCAACCTCTAGATAACGTTTCTTTACCTCAAAAGGTAATCAGATCTAAAATCAATGTTTATCTGATTATAACACTCGAAAACGTGAAATTTGCTAATTTTTTCATTCAAAATGAGCGGACGTGCCCCACAAGCACATTCTCTTTGAAACGCCGTTCCAAAAAGCCGGAACTTTAGTCTTCACGGCCGAAAACCGAAAATGCCGTGTTTTTAGAGGCATAAATATTCTCGCATAGGTCTTTGATCTGCTCGAAAACTCAGGTTTTTAGCGATTTTTTGAGGAAAAAGTGGCCATATGTTAGTCTTTATAGATAAAAAGTGGCAAAATTTTTATGTTTTTAGCAAAATATTTTAATATTATTTACATTTTTATTCATTTTTACAATTTAAACTGCAAAACAAGCCTTATTTCAATAACTGATTACATTTTCCAATAAAAATGTCAACGAAATGCCACAAAAACGAAGTTTTGTCGAAATCACGTTCATTTTGTAAATTTACAAAATTTTGTCGTTCTCCTGCCTTCATATTCATCTAATACTAAAGTCTAGTCTTAAGTTGTGCTTATGAAGTAAGTTTCTTCTTTTCTTTAGTTGTCTTACGGTTTTAGGGGTCAAAAACATCATGGATAATTTAATTTTCACGTTTTTGGAGGTCTTATTCGGCTTCTTCGGCTTTGTTTGTATCTTTAATACTATAAAGAACAGCTTTTACTATAATTTTCTAATATTTGTGATGGGTTTGGAGCTAAATTTGGCATAAAAAAGCCGTGTTTTTATGAAGTTTGGCTAGTGTAATATAGTTTTGTGATTTTGGGTCAAATTTTGAGCGGAAATTTTTGTTAATTCTGTTTGAAAGGTTTAAAATTAGCTAAATTAATATTTTTATTACTTTTTTAGTCTCATTTTGAGCGAAAAATGTCAATTTCAATGTCTTTTTCTTCAAAGACACCTAGTTTACCACAAGTTTTTTCAATTTTAGGACGATATATTCGCTTGAAATGATTTTGGGTCTATAAGTTATGGTTAATAAAATGTATTGTGAACCGATCTAACGGTTTTTGAAAGTAAATTTGTTATTATAACATACGTTTTTCCAAATTTTAGATTTTTTCGTGGTTAATATCGCCTGTATTTTTTTGAAAATCGTTTTTAGGTCTAATTTCTTAGTTTTTAATGATTTTTTTGTTCAAATTTTGATATTTATTGATATTTATTATCTTTATAACAATATTAACTTTCAGCGACATGTCCCAAACAATTGCCGGCCTTTTGGAGGAGGTATCTCCGATCCAAAAGACCGCTCATAACAAGGTCACCGTCGTTGGCGTAGGCCAAGTTGGTATGGCCTGTGCCTACAGCATTCTTCAACAAAATATGGCTTCCGAAATCTGCTTGGTTGATGTTGTACCAGACAAGCTGAAGGGCGAAATGATGGATCTTCAACATGGTTTGGCATTCACGAGACCATGCACGGTTAGAGCTGGTACTGATTACGCTATCACTGAAGGATCAAAGCTTTGTGTCATTACTGCTGGATGTAGACAACGTGAAGGCGAGACTAGACTGTCGTTGGTGCAAAGGAATGTTGAGATTTTCAAGGGTATTGTGCCTAATTTGGTCAAGTACAGCCCGAACACTATCATTTTGGTGGTTTCGAATCCAGGTAATGGATTTTTTGGAGTTTATTGGGCTTTCAGCTTGATATCTTTTGAAATACACGATTACCCATTACTGTTTCATGAATATATAACTTCTAAAGACACTATTCAATACTATTTTAGTATAAGTTTTAAATTCTTAGCTATTTTCAGCGTTTTTTGCTTAAATTTATATTATATTGGACATTAGACCGCTTAACTCAATATAAAAGATTATTTTTGAAGTTTTTGGCTTTTTACTTTAGCTTTGTGCTGTTTATAAGCTTTAACAGACTTTATTTTATTATTTCAATGCAAGATTTTTAATATCTTGGTGGCTTTTAACTTTATTCATCAAATTATATTACCCATTATATCAGATCTTCCAAAACAATATAATTTTTAGTTTTTGACATTTTCAGTTGATGTTCTGACTTATGTGACTTGGAAATTGTCTGGCTTGCCTAAGGAACGTGTTATTGGATCTGGAACCAACTTGGATTCAGCTAGATTTAGATTTTTGCTTTCTGAACGTCTTCAAATTGCTCCATCAAGTTGTCACGGCTGGATTATCGGTGAACATGGCGACACTTCTGGTTGGTTTTATATTATTTCAAACTTTATTAACTTGGCTTTATCTTGCGACCAAACCTACGTTATATTATCTTAAATTCATTATGTAATCAGGCTATAAAGTTATATTACCCATGATTTTGTAGTGCCAGTTTGGAGCGGTGTTAACGTTGCTGGTGTGCCATTGGTGAAGGTCAATCCGAACATTGGAGGTCAAGACGATTCAGATCAATGGGCTAAGCATATTCACAAGGGTGTGGTAGACTCGGCTTACGAGATTATCAAGCTGAAGGGATATACATCATGGGCTATTGGTCTCTCCGTGGCTACGATCGTCGCGGCTGTGCTACACAACAGTCGAAATGTGTTTGCATTGTCTACTAATGTCAAGGTAAGTTTGGTTGTTGTGTTGCAATTGCAAACTGTGGCATATGAACGGAAAGACTGAAAGAAATAACAGATTTTATATTATCCATGGGTTTGGTGCGATGTGGACATAACGTTTTGTTCTTTTTAAGGTTTTTGAATTTTGTCATTGAGGTATGATTATAAATGTCATAGGACTGTAAAAATGAAAAAAGAAATTGTTTTGGGTTTATGTTTGCTTTGATACATTGATTTTATATTAACCACGGGTAAAGTGGGATGGATAATATAAAACAGATTGTAACTGTTTTGCTCCTAAGATTTTTAACGTGTTAGCTTAATACAGTCATAATGGATGATATTAAGCTATGAAAAAGTAAAAAAGTAGATTTTTTGATGCAATATTAACAAAGATACATCAATCTTTATGTTGCCTATGAGCTCACTGTTATGAGTAATATAAAAATTGATGTGTCGTAGCTCTTTTTAATTTTAATACGAAGCTTTTGGTAAAATTACGTATCAAAGAGAATTATAAACTTAATATTTAAAATTTCAGGGCTTCCACGGCATCGACACCGACGTATACTTGTCTTTACCATCAGTTCTGGGCGCCAACGGCATTACCCACATTGTGAAGCAAAACTTGTCGGATCAAGAGGTTGAACAGCTCAAGAAATCAGCAGCAGCCTTGGATGACGTTCAAAAGGGCTTAACTCTCTAAATCTCTCATCTTTAGTGTAATAATGTAACGTTTTTTAATTTAATAGACCATAGATATAAAGGACAATAAAGTTAATGTAATTTTGGTAATTTTGTTCCGATTTTTGTACTTTTTAACAATTTTTTGAGGTTTAAAAATGGATTTTTTGGTGTTTTTTTTAAATTTTTGTGTTAGTCGTACTACTGAGTATAACTGAAAATTGAAAAAGTAGCTTTTGTATGTTTGGTACTGAATGGTACTATCTAGTATCGGAAATTGAAAAAAGTTATATTTTATGTTTTTGGTACTACGTAGTATAATACTAAAATAAGAAAAAACTTACATTTAATTATTATTGGTACTATGTAGTACTGTTCAGTAATAACAGACCTAAAGATATGAATTTTTTGTTTTTTGGTACTATATAGTACTATTTAATACCAAAAAACCCGAAAATCTTAATATTAGATTTTTTGATACTATATAGCACTATTTAATCCCAAAAACAATAAAATTTATTTTTTTTGTATTTTCACCACTACAGTACTATTAAAAGCTGTATTACCATATATATGTACTATAATATATGACCAGCAACTTGTCAAATTTCAAAAAACTTTCTTTATTAAAAACCAAAAGTTGAGATCCAGTTACACATAACAACATGTCGACGTTTGAATGTCAAGTTCAAGATAAGAACGAAAAGATGGACCGGCCCGACGTCAGGATGGAGGAATCCAGTTTTTTGCGTTTACTCTCCAACTGATTCAGGAGATAGTCCATGATCTTCATTTCGTACGGCGTGAGATGGTGGAAAGATACGGAGGTGTCGCTGATGACTTCGGGGAACTGAAATGAGAGATGTCATCTTGGCTTGGCCGGGGGGGGAGGGTAAGTAAATGGCCTGTTATGAAGAACAAACCCAATAATCGCTTCATCCATGCCTTATATAAACATACCTTTTTGTACCCATAAAACGAGTTTTGCTTGATAAACTCAATGAGGTATTTGCTCTTGAATTCATCAATATTGAAATGATGGAATCGATCTCGGCCCAGCTTGTCTCGCGTATCCACTGGATATACACCGACTTTGGCGAAGCAGCGGGAAATCTGAAAGCAAACTAAAAGTGTAAATATTGCCAATAAATCTAAGGAAAAATATATTCTTACAAAAAATGTCATAAAAGTTTGTTATAAGGCCCATAAAACAATTTTTTGAACTAACTCTTTATTTTTTTTTCTTAAAACTTTAGGGTTCAACAACTTCAACAACCTGCAACTCGGCAACCGTTGCAAATTATACTAAACTATAATATACTAAATTATGGTCAATAAAATAAATAAATAAAAGCTTCAAAAAACTGGTTGATAAAAAAAATGCAATATGTCCAAATATTTGATAAAAAACTCAATTTTTTCAAAAAAATATAGGGCCAGCAACTTTAACAACCTGCAACTCTGCAACCGTTGTAAATTATACAAAATTGTGTTATACAAAAGGGTGCCCAATATACTGAAGAACGTTGCTGTTAAAACTAATTTAAAAAAATCGACTGGTCGATAAACAAAATGTACTTTAATCTAAATATTTGTTAAAAAATCAAAATTTTTGGCGAAAAACCTTTAAAATTTAAAAAAAACATAATTTCTACCTACTTTTTGACTAATAGTCATATCTTATCAAAACTAGATTTTTTATATATTATAGTTGCAACAATAAAATGGCTGTTTTAGACCATTAGATACTAGAGAATCATAAAATATGACAAAAATCCTACCTCCTGATCCTCTTCAGCTCTGTGGAAGTCAGGGCAAATTGTGTCATTCTTCATAATTTCGTTGAATACTTTCATTCCACCGCTGCTCACAATGTATACACCACCATCAACGTAACCTCGAGGCTGAAAAAATTAAATTTGATTTTTTTAAAAATATTTTTAAATTAAGTTTTGAGCCTTGAATTAGTGTTTTACTGGGTCTTTAGAAAACTTTAAAAATTTTCAAAAAAATGTTGGCACAGGTACCTGTGCCGATTTTTTCGACCCCCAGACCCAAACTCCCCGCCCGCCCCTGGTTGTAAAGCATTATCTTTGTATAATATATGACTAAAAAAGTCTCGTCGTCAATTTGCATGTAGTTGCCTATTAAAAAACGACAAGACTTTTTTACTTCTGATTTTACTTCACGGTAAAATACCTTGTGACAACATGGTTCTTAAGACCACAAACCCACCTCAAAGAATCCCCACCGATAGCCAAGCACAGCCGGCGTGGCTGGATCGTGTTCAGCGACCAACGTTCTAGCGTTATCAATCAAAACGTATGAATCATCATCAGCTCTCAAGTACCAGTCGTATTTCTTGTCCATATCTTCAAACACGTAACGGAATACTCGTCGTATCTTCTCCCAGGAATGATCTCGAGTACCCATCATGGGGAAGTACACGTACGGTACGTCGTATTCTAGTGGGGCATCTGTGAAGACCAAAATGTCATCACACTTCTTTGCCCAGGTTTCTAGAATCACTGCCATCTGAAAAGGAAAGTTGTTTATATATTAGCAACTAAGTTAAAAAAAGGCTTCAGAACAGTTCCGGCTCCGGTTTTAGAACAGCTCTGGCTGTGGAACTATAGGGTCGACAAGGAAGCCAAATTCTATAAATTTTTGGACCAACCCCAATAAAGAAAATACTTAAAACAACTTTTTTAAGCCTATAAACATACATATTTTCTATTTTTACTCTTTTTGAAAGGTCAAAAAATTCACCGAAAAATCCACAGGGAGGACCAAGCTTGATAGTAAAGCAAAATTCTATGAATTTTTCGACCAACAAAAAAAAACAAATGTTTAAAGCAACGTTTCTAGGCTTATAAACATACAATAATGACAATTTTTATTCTCTTTCAGTGGTCAAAAAATTTATCGAAAAATCCACGGGAGGGGGGGCTAAGCTTGATAATAAAGCCAAATTCTACAAACTTTTAGAACAATCAAAAAATTAAAAAAAAGGCAAAGCCAAAGCTAAAACTGAAGCTTAAAAAATGTGTAGGTTAGTCCTAAAGAGCTTAGGAGTTCAGTATTAATAAGCCTCGGAGCCAGCACGGCACCAGTTACATAGCAGCTCTAGTTTCAGAGCTACGGCCGCAACCAAAAATTTAAAATTTGGGAACTTTGGTCTATAGTGAAGAAATGGTCTATAATAATGAAAAAAACGGCCTACAGTACAAAAAAAAATTAAAAGCCAAACTTACTCTAGTTTTGTGAGCACTTTTGGTAGTGTGAATGATGCACATGATTGTAGGTTTCTTCACGTATAAAGCAGCTGAAGCCAAGGAAATGGTAGAGAACATCAACAAAATTTTGAGCAGCATTTTCAACAAAAGTTTGTGTATAACAAAGCTGCTTTTACCCCTGACAACAAATTAAAATTTAAGCAAATAATTGAAAAGTTTTAAAAAATAGGAACTTCAGGGCTTGTAGACAAGTATTGACGTTGTTCTTCAAGCTTCTACTGACGTTCTATAGCTGCTACTGAACTTCTCAAGCTGTACTGAACTTCAAAAGCTTATATTGATCTTCTAAGGCTTCTAATGATCTTCTAAAGCTTCTATTAAGCTTCTAAACCTTCTACACAGCTTCTAAAAGCCTTGTAGTTAGATGTACAATAAGTTTAGTTGACTAGGACAGTATTTAGCTAACCTGCAGCTAACCCTAAAGCCCTTGAATAGACTGATCTACTAACACAAAAGCAGTAAACTTTTATTCAAGTTTAACTACAGGATGTTATTTCAAGATTAGCCTGATAGACTCAATCAATCTGTCATTTAGGCTTAATATTTGCTCTAGGATTGCTCCGCCTTTACATTGTATCTTTAGTAGCTTGTGGTGTTCAAGCTTACTGTTAGCTACGCCTTAAAGGGTATCTTGTTCTAGGGTACATCCATGTGAAAGGATATATCTTGTCCATTGTCTCTATGTCTTCTAGGAGCTCTGACATGCTCTATAGACCTTCTACAGGCTCTGACATATTCTCTACAAGCTAGTTTATGTCTTCTATAAGCTTAGGAACGCCTTCTATGTTCTCGATAGCCTTAGGAACGTGTTCTATACTCTCTACAAGCTCAGCAACGCATTGTATCTCTCTTATGGGCTTAGTAACGCCCTATATGTCTACTACAAGATCATGTACGCTTCTCTGTGCCTTCTACAACCTCTCTGATCTTTCTATATCTTCTACCAATTATTCTATGCTTCTCACGCCCTCTACAGGCCCTCAAAGTCATCTTAAACCTCCCACTCTCCCAACACCCCTCTATCTCTCTCAACCCTCTCATATTACCCACCCTAGCTCCCTAACCGCAACCTACCTCCCCCAAAAGCCTCTATATTTATTTTTCTTTCCCTACCTCTCTAGAACCCTCCTAAACCCCTACAATATTTTCAAAAACCAGCTCCAAAAACAACCACGCCCAAGAAGAACAACGTTGCGGTCAAGTAATTGTTATCTTAATTTTCGAATCTGCCCTTCCGGTTCTTCCTCCCAACTTTTTTTTGATTTTCTAACTCATCCAGCCTAGTGAAGATCCAGTTTTTGCAAAAAATCAACATAATTCATCTTCAACTTAGAAAAAAAATAATTTTATGAGGGGTTCTTAATTATTTTGCTGCATTTTAATTGGAAAAGCGTCACTTTTTTTGAAAATATGGCTACTGTAATCAGTGATAGGTCAGTGATCTTAGTCTAACTAAAAAACCAAAAAAAATTTTTATGAAACATAGGACTAGAGTAAGGTTAAAAAGGTAGGGCTAGAGTTTAACCAAGGCCGGGCGTTGGAGGAGACCCCCCCCTTATCAAAAAAAAATTTCGAAAAAAGTTGAACGTGGTCCCCTCTGTGGATTTTTAGAAAAAACTTTTTCAACCCTCGCCCCCATACTAAAAGTCCCCACCCGGACTGTAACACTAGAACAGAACTAGGGACGAGAGCGAAGCTAAGCTTATGGTAAAGCTTAAAGTACGGCTTTATTCAAAAAAAAAACATGCGGAATCTATGTCCTCCTCTTTCTTTGAGGTTCAATAAGTCCTGTAAAAAGACCGAGCTGAGCCTAATTTTTTTCAAACCGGATATTGACGTGGAGCCTCAAGCCTAGATATACTGACCAAACTGTTTTCACAAAAAAAAATTCTTGCCATTTTTCGTTTTGTAAAGAAAGTTCTTGCGATTTTCTATTTTGTAAAGTAAGTCCTTGTCATTTTTTAGTTTCTAAAGCAAGTTCTTGCCATTTTTTGTTTTGTAAAGAAAGTTATTGCCATTTAAATTTTTTTTTTCAATTTCAAGCCTTCTCAAGCAAAAAAAAACACAAGTTCACAAAAATTCAAAAAAAAACTAAAAACCCATATCAACATCGAGTAATTTATGTTTTTCTTTCAAAATCAGCTGTGATTATAAGTCCCAAAAAAGGTTGTCAATTTCAAGGAGACCTCTCTCGAGCTGTGCGGACATCATCGCCCTGCTCTTCTGATACCACATTGGATTCGCCGGTCTGATCGTTAGTGTCGGTCATGTTTGTGTAGTCGTTTGTGTCTGTGACATCTTGTTGCTCCATCACCGTGCTAAAACAAGTTTAAAAAAAATTTTAAAAAATTTCAAAATTAAAAAAAATTTAAAAAATGTCAAAACTTTAAAAAGTCAAATTTTAAGTTATTTTTAATAAGGTGACGTCATAATTTTTCAAAAAATTAAAACCTACCCCATAGCCGACACCAAATTCGAATCATCATACTGTGGCAACGATTGTGGCTCCACGGATACTGAAAATACAATTGTTATTTAAAAAAACTAGTTCGAAGCTTGAGAGCCATTATCAATTCGAAAAATCTTATTATTCAAGTTCAAGGGAACCGGTTGAGCCTCGATTTCGTAGGCATAACAACTCAAACTCAGTAAAAACAATCTTCAAACGGCAATAAAAAAACTTTAAAAAACTTTTCAATTTTTTCTCAATTCTTGCAAGCTTAAAATACAAAATTTTAAAAAAGCGACATGTTATACGATGGAGCATGTCTGAACAGGTTTCATCGTATAAAATGTCAATTTTACAAAGTTTACAATTTCAAAACTCCTGTAAATGAAAAATAATCTTCCATTTTACTTATCGTTTGTAAAAATTTGAAGTATTGCTTACATAGCGACATGTTATACGTTCACACATGTCTGGGCTGAACATGTTTCGTCGTATAAAATGTCACTTTTTAAACATTACAAGTCTACAACCACTGTAAAAGAAAGGTAATCTTGCATTCTATTTATATTTTGTGAAATTTTAAAATATTTTTTACGTAGCGACATGTGTGACGTACAAACATGCCCAGGCTGGTTTCATCGTATAACATTTCACTTTAAAACGTTACAATTTAAAAATCACTGAAAAATCAAAGGTAATCTTGCATTTTACTTATATTTTGTAAAAATTTAAAATATTGTTTACATAGAGACATGTTATACGATGAAACATGTTTATGTTGGATATGTTTCATCGTATAAGACGTCACTTTTAAAACTTTATAATTTAAAAACCACTGTAAATGAAAGGTAATCTTGCATTTTTATCATATTGTGTAAATTTTTAAAACAAATTGTTTACATAGTGACATGTTATACGATCAAACATGGTAGATATGTCTGGACATGTTTCATCGTATAAAATGTCCAAAATTTGACAAAACTTTTAAAAATTTGCAAAATCCAACCTTCCTTCTTGCGTCTACGTTCCGTCTTATCCAGGGACTTGTCCGTCTTCTCGGATTTGCGACTTTTCCGTTTGCCCTGCCGATGCGCGCCACAGACAGCCGGCTTGCTGCTCTTGACCTTGACAAAGTTGGTCGGTTCGTCCGCGAACTTCATGTCGTTCTTCAAACGGTGTCTGCGTTTGTCCGGTGTCTTTGACTTTTCTTCTTTTGCCGGTGATGCTGTGAGCTGAGTGTCGGATGGGTTCGACTTGATTTCGGGAGGTAAGTCTGATGTTGGTGGAGGCTGAAAATGACGAAGTTTATATCAACAGTAATCTTTTTTGTACTTAATAATAATAAAAATATCAATTTTTAACTTTATTTTTTAAAATTTTGTCATATTTTTGATGATCCGACAATTTATACGATAAAACATATCCAAACATGTTTCATCGTATAACATGTCACTATGTAAAAAATATTTTAGATTTCTACAAAATGTAAGTAAAATGCAAGATTACCTTTAATTTACAGCAATTTTAGACTTGTAATGTTTGAAAAGTGACATACGATCAAACATGTCTGAGCTGAGCATGTTTCATCGTATAACATGTCATTTTTAAAAAGTTACAATTTAAAAATTACTGTAAAATCAAAGGTAATCTTGCATTTTACTTATATTTTGTAAAATTTTAAAATATTGTTAACATAGTGACAAGTTATACGAAAAAACACGTCCGGACATGTTTCATCGTATAACATGTCTTTTTTAAAAATTGTTTTTAAAACAATCCTCAAATCATCTTAAAGTCACCTTAACATCACAAAAAATTTTTTTTAATTTGAAAAAATGTCCCCCTCCCTCTTACCATTTTCTCCCACCTCTACCCCTCCCCCCTCCTACCGTTTTCTCTCACCTCCGCCTCCCCCCCCCCTCCTTTAAAAAAAATAGCCCCATACCCACCTCCTGAACATTGGCAGACGATCCCCTTTCCTTTTCGGCCGAATTCCGTGACTTTTTAACCACCGTCTCCTTGGGTTTGAGAACATCCTCTTCTGACGCATCTTTCTTGACTTCACGAGGCTTCATTTGGTCCGGCAGTTCGCGTCCATAGTCCTTTTCTCTGTCTTTCCTTTCGCGTTTCTTCTTCGATTTGCGTTTCGACCTCAACGGCACTTGTAATTTGTTCTGAATCGCATCTAATCTTGAATCTCTGGAAATGAAACTTTAAGTAAAATATCAAATTAACATAGCCCCAGAGCCTTGGCCCTAGCACACAGCCCTAACTCAGAGCCCTAGCTCAGATCCCGTAGCCCAGAGCTATAGCCCAGATCCCCAGCTCTACCTCTAATCTAGTCCTTGCTTCAGATCAATTTTAGGCTCTAGCTCTATCTCTAGGTCAAGCCTCAGATCAGGCTAGAGCAATAGTTCTAAGTCTAGTTCTAGCCCAAACTCTGGCTCTAACTCTAGCTCAAGTTCATGCTTTAGGTCCGGCTCTCGCTTTAGCTCAAGCTCAGCCTGAAGTTCTATCTATAGGTCTAGGTCTAGCCTTATCTAAAGATCTAGTTCAAGCTCAGGCTCAAACTTAAGCTCCAGCCATAACTATAGCTTTAACCCAGTTCCGCAACGTAAGCTCAAGGTCAAACTCAAGCTTAATCTCAAGTTCGACCTCAAGTTCCAACTCAACTTCAAGCTCTAGCTCCAGCTCTAGCGGAAGCTCAGCCTGAAGCTCTAACACTAGCTCAAGCTCAATATCTAGCTTTGGCTCCACCTCAACTTCTAGCTTTAGTTTCAGCTCTATTCCTAGCCCAAAACTTATCAAAAAAGACTTACGAAGCGCCCATTTTGAGCAAAAATAATATAACCGACCAGCGTGATGTTCGAAATTACAACAACAATGAGAATTTACAAATTTAAATTTGTTTTTTTAAAATTTCGAAAAATTTTTAAAAAAAAACAAAAAATTTAAAAAAATTTTAAAATCCCAAAAAAACTTTTAAAAACCAAAATGACACAACTTTATTAGTTTAAAAAATACTCCGGTATCAATGTGAAATGACATAAGTATTTTGTTGCATCTTCAATGTCGAAACCAAGAAAGAGCGCGAGAGAACACACAGAAACGAGAGGGTGCACAGAGAAAAATTTGGATCATAAGACAAAAATAACTTTTAGTATAGCATGATAAAACGAAAAATGAAATTTAAGATTATTATTGATTGTTCTTATCATAGTAAAATGAATTTTAAAGTAAAGTTTTACATATCTTGACTGGATAGGTTTTATCGTATAACATGTCGCTTTTTTCAAATTTTAAGGTTTGTTAACACAAAGCAAAAATTTAATTACCCTATAAAGTTAAAAAATACCTTTTTGTTTATTATATTGACTATTTTTAAATATTTTATCACTTGGACATGTTTCATCGTATAACATGTAACTTATTTTAGAAAATAGGTCATTTTAAGCCTAAAATTAATAATTTAAAACCTGTGAAGTAAACATATGCCATAAAACAGAATTTAAAACAATTTAAAACACCTTTTATATTTCTTAAAGCATCAAACTCATCAAATATCATGGATAATATACCACTTTTAGCCAAAAAACCTAAAATATCAGCAAAAATCAGCCAAACAAAATAAAAAACTTTACCATAAATACAATTCCATACTACAACAGACATGCTTAACAAAAAATATTTTACAAAACGTTCGGGATTATTTGATTTACAGTGATTTCGCACCGTGCATCCATTTTTGACTTCTTGCCTTGCCTGAGGCCGTTTTCAAGCAGATTGTTGTAGTCGGGTCTATGTGGACCAGGCGGGTTGTACATACGGATCGAACGATGCCGGCTGGGATCGTTTGCCAAAGCGAATGAACGTCGGTTTGCCGTTGGAGCGGCTGGCACGGTAAAGTCGATAGCTGTTCTGGTCGTTCAGTCGGTACAGTGCTTTCATTATGTTCTCTCGCTTCTGAAAAAAAAGAATAGTTAATTGAGTAGTTAGTATAACATGCTAAGAAAAAGTGATTAGTATACCCTATCCTACCCTACCCTACCCTAACCTACCCGATTATGCCGTACTCAAGAAATACCGTACCCATTGTGTACCGTATCCTGAACCCTTTCTTATCTTTCTCTACTCTTTTCCTACCTTTGGTCTATCGTGCCTTACCGTACCCTAAACTTGTCCTGCGTTGGTTGTACTTCACCCTACCGTATCCTACACTTGCTCTACCGCACCGCAAACTTTTCTTACCTTTAGCCTACTGATTCTCTATTTTCGGTTTACCATACTCTACCATAATCTTGCTCTAAGCTACCACAAGTTTAGCTTTGCTCGACTCTTGCCCTACCTTTACTGTAATTTACTCTACCTCAACCCGCTCTACCATACTCTATCCTACTCCAGCTCTACCTCACCCTAAAACCTATAAAATCAAGCCATTTTTATATGATATCCAAAAACATAGCAAGCTTATTTTTTAACCCCAACTTCTCTACCCTAGTATTTAACTTCTACCGTAATAATCTACCTGTCTCATTACCAATTCTTCTTCCCCTGACCTTTGATAAATAATTTACCAACCGCACTTTCTGAATAAACAAAAATTCCTTTACAAGCTGTTTTTCATGTCTGGGACTATTGAAAATTAACTTTTAGTCAATAAAAGCCTGTTTTTACCCCAAACACAATAAGTAAAGAAAAGATTATTTACCCAAAAAAGTCTTGTCGTCAATATCTATATACTTACATGCTTAACAACGACAAGACTTTTTTAACCCTTCGAGACGTGCCTAGGGTTATTTACAATAAATTTTTTGGAAGAAAAACTTGTTGACATATAACTCGGCATAGTTAATAAAGGCAATCTTACCGCCTCTTCCTCCGTCAAACACTCGGCCAGCACGCTCAGCACCATCAGAATCCCCAACACTCGTTGCACTGTGCACTTCATCCCGGTCTGAAATTGAAACAAATTTAATAAGGTATGTTATATACCTCTGAAAAAATAGATGACACTCGTAAAAAGCTTTTAAAAGTAAAAAATCTTATCTTTCAACTCTAGGCCTAACTTTAGCTCTAGTCCTAAACCTAGCGATAGTCCTAGTATTAACCCTCCACAAGCCTAAGCGAGACTCTAGCCCTAGCCTACGGCTAAGTCAAAACCTGAAGCAAAGTCTAAGCTCTCCTCCAAGCTTTAGCATAAGCTCTACCCTAAGCACTAGCCTAAGCTATGGCCTAAACTTTAGCCTAAGCTGCGGCCTAATATCATGCAACAATAAATTCAAAATCAAGTAAAAAACTTTAAATTTTTTACAAAACAATGGCTATAATCAGAAAAATATCCTTATAAAGGCTCTCGGATTTTAAAAATAGACTAAGTAACTCAAATTGTTAATGTTCGAACTTTGTATATAAATATAAAGCTAAACAAAACATGATTTGTAAAGTGAATGAAGAAAAAACAAAGACAAAATTATTATAAGTTTAAAAAGAACAAATATATAAAGCCAGAAAAAAGTTTTTTCGTTTTTAGTCTGTAATCTTTTAGAAATAGACGACAAGACTTTTTGCGCATTTTTGTGCAAAAAATTTAAAATCAAAAAATTTTTTTTAAATTTTTAACAAACTTTTTCAAGCCCAAGATAAATTTCATTAGAAGGAAGTGGCTCGCAAGACCATGTGTTATGTTTTGTCATCTAAAACGTATCAAAATTTTAAGCACAACAAATAAACAAACTGTTACATGACTCTTCTTCAAACTAATATAAATAATGAAAATATGAATAACAAACAGAGAAAAAGACATAAGAAGATGTGTCATACATGTCTTACAAAATTTCAGCCGTCTGTGGCATTTTTTGAAACTTTTGGGTTTAGGCTTAAAATTGGGAGTTTAAGCTTATAAATTAAAAACTAATCTGAAACTAAGGCTAAAGCTAGGCTACGACTAAAACTAGGGCTCCGGTTAAGGCTAAAACTAAAACTGGCGCTAGGGCTCTGAGCTAGTAGAGCTCCAGACTAGAACTAAGGCTAAAGTAAGAACTAAAACTATGGCTAGTACTAAAGCTAGCCCTAGACTTAAAGCTAGAATTAGGGCTAAAGCTCTAGGCTAAGGCTTTGTGATATGTGTAGACCATGCCAAAACGAAAGCTAAGGCTAGGATTAAAGCTAGGGCTTAGGCTAACGACCATTTTTTTCCAAAAAACTTTTTTGCCCCCCCCCCTCCAAAAAATTTTTTTACAACGCCCAAAACTAAACCTCATCATTTTTCAGAACCTCAATATCAGATCTCCAACCCATATATTTAGTCAAAATTTATGACATTTCTTGTCACCAAACCCTCAATAACAGGTTTTTCAAAATATGTAAAGGCATCACGCTTTACAGTAAGTGCCGTGTCTTTACGACTATCATAAAAATAAAAAAAATGTTGGAAAAACAACGATAATACGTATTTCTGCAAATATATGTGTGAGTAACTGTAAAATTTAATAAGATACGGCCAGACAACAATCTTTTTCACAGTAATATTTGAGTTCAAAATTGTAAAGCGATATCCTGAAAGTTTTTGCTAAATATTTAATTTAAAAGTTAAAAAAAAATATTTTTGTAGTAAAAAGTAAAAGTTATGTTACAATCAAAGTTTATAATTTTTAAATTTCCAGAATCTGAGCAAGAACCGTTGTAGAACCAGAGCCAAAGCCGTGTTAGTACCGAAGTCGCTGAAACCAAAGCCAGAGCCAGTGTAGGGTAGGGTAGGCTCTGAAGGCCTTCAGTACTACAATTCCACATTTTCTAGCATTGGCTCTAGTGTCGGCTCCCCTCTTATATAAGTTTTCCGGCTCTAAATTCAGCTCTGAAGCCAAAGTTTCATTAAAGCTGTGGTCCCGGAGCAGGGGACTTTTGGTCTGGGTCGGAGGTCGAAAAAATTTTTCCAAAAATCCGCAGGGGGAACACGTTCAACGTTTTTCGAAAAATTTTTTCTGAGGGGATCTCTAAAACTAAAGCCTTCCGGGAGCTGAAGCTGACGTTAAATCGATGCCAGAGGCAGATCCGAAGCTCTTGAGAACCCTGGTTACAACTCTTGAAATCTTTAACTGAAGTTATTTTCAAAAACGTATTTTACACAACTTTTTATCAACAGATATCCAGTCAAAAGAAACTTATTTTGACAGAAACTTAAACGTGATCTACACAGTAAATTCTAAAAAAAATAAAATTTGGTCTCATAATGTAAACCCCAAAAACCATGGCCCATACCAACAGGTCTATCCTCATCCTGCGATACTCAGCCATAAACCAACGCCTGTAACTAACAATCTCCGTAGCCCATAGCATAAGGCCTAGTCCAATCCTCTAACAATGCAACAGACCTGACCCTAGCATTAACCCTAGCCTTGACTCTAGAACTACAGCAAGCGTCGAGTGCAACCCTAGCCCTACATTTCTTAACCCACAGTTTGTAGCTCTATATCTTCTATGACTTTTCCCGTCACCAATCTGCAGACACTTATATTTATAGTAACATATAAATATGCAAGAAAACAACTTTGCTTACATTAAGCAAAAACTCGATGGAATACAATTACATTGAAGCCGATAAGTGTTTGGGCGATAAACAAAGTTATGTCGTGTTTCCCGGCTGTTAACGCATTGTTATTACTATAAACAAGGTTAATCAATCTTCCTGGACTGACGACATTTAATGCGAAAATGTCGTGAACTAGTACTTATTGACTTCGTATTATATGATTAAATCATTAGTACATTATAGCATCATAGCCATTGTCTAGTATTTATAGTACCTTATTCGTTATTATCCTACGACTATATCATTAGTTCCGGCTTTACTATGGAACTATAAAGTGTGCCAATATGTTTAAGCTAGACTAAAGTTGGAGGCAGAGCTAAGGTTAGCAAAAGAGCTGAAGCTTAGGCTAAAGCTAGAACTAGAAACAAAACTTGGGCTAGGGCTCTAAGCTAGGGCTTTAAGCTAGGGCTAGATGTAAGACTGCAGCTCCAGCTAGAAGGCTAACAATTGTAATGCTTTGGACTGGGGTTCTAGGCTAGGTCAAAGGTTAAACTAAGGCACAAAATAGGGCTTAGGCTAGGGCTTAGGCTAGGGCTTAGGCTAGGGCTTAGGCTAGGGCTTAGGCTAGGGCTTAGGCTAGGGCTTAGGCTAGGGCTTAGGCTAGGGCTTAGGCTAGGGCTTAGGCTAGGGCTTAGGCTAGGGCTTAGGCTAGGGCTTAGGCTAAGGCTAAATTAAGAGTAAAGATACTGCACTGGCTAGGGCTACGGCTATAAAAATATGTAAAATTCTGTTACGTAGTCTAACACGTTGCCGTAAGTTTTTACTGCACCGTTGCCCCAAAATTCCAAAAAGACCTTATTAAATCAAGATTCTAGCCTAAATTTCATTCAAAAACCCCAAAAAGTTTCATAAAATTCATTTAAAATTCCATTAGATTAAAAGCCATACCTCAAAAAATTCAAAAGAAAAGAATGCACTACAGTAGCACAAAGAACAATGACAATATCCTAATGTTCTCCTTAACCAAAAAAAAAATTTTTAAATTTCAAAAGAATACTTATCGAAATTCCAAGAAGTATTAAGTTTCACACTTCCATACGTACGTTCGTTCCGTCGAATATTCATTCAAAACCAAAGTTTATTTTCTCAAAAATTTTTTTTTCTTTCATTGCTTTGTAAAAAGGGGCGGAGCTTGCAAAAGAGGTACGTAGTATATAAGTAGTTCACACGATTTGAACATCAATAAAACAGTACAGTATATAGTGAAAAGGTTTAAAATATAGTAATATTGTTAAAAATAGACATTATCGCAAAAAGTTATAATTTGCCGAATCGACCGGTCGATAAAATAAAACTTTAAAAATTTTTGAAAAACACATTTCTTAAACCTTTTCAACACAATATTAGGCTTAAAAAACTTATTCAGTATATAAAAATTGTCGACTGGTCGATGAATCAAAATTTAATATTTTTAAAAAAATCAGTTTCTAAATGTTTTTCAACCACATATTAGGCTTAAAAAGGTTTTTTCAGCACTTGAAAATTATCGACCAGTCGATTGTTAAAAAGAAAAGACATTTTAGTTACAACATTACTAGTAGAACAATACTATGCTATAACATATATTTATGAACTTCAATTTACTAAATACCTTACACCACGTACTCAACGTAATACGCCCTAGGCCTGCTTAATTTTTTTCACCAAAGTGTAAATTAATACTCAAATGTCAAATTAAAGCCTTAATTAGGTTCTAATTCCCGAATAAACTTGTCCATTCATTGGCTGTAAACAGAAGTTTATGTACTCGAGAATAACATAGTTACCCCTGCTTTTCATTCTTAAAAAGGTCAATTTGATATACAATGTTTTTAAAATTTTACAAGTACGATTAAGACCGTCTACCGTATTTATAGATTTTAAAAGGGCAATTTTTAGATGATTGTTTATGAATAATTTACGAGTTTGTTTTTAAAATTAATGACAAAAACATTGTAAGGTCATTTTTTATAATACCACAAAGTCAATTATTTATATATATAAAAACAAGTCTAGCAATAAGCTCAAGCCAAAGCCTAAGCTTAAGTCTAACCTTAAGCAAAGGCCTAAGTCCGATCTTGAGCTTAAACTTAAGCCAAGGTTAAGCCTAAGACTAAGAAAACGCCTAAGCCAAAGCCCAAACCCAAACAAATGCCAGTTCAGTCATACGCTTAAACCTAAACATATGTCCAAGCTCCTTCCTAAACCCAAGCATAAGCAAAACTTTAGACGAAGCCCAAGCCTGAGCTCTAACATTATTAAGTTGTGTGTGTGTATAAAGAATGACCGGTTTTATAGCACCAATGTTAGTCATAGCTATAGACCATGTACTCATGCCAATATCTATACTCTTTTACTATATAGAACCGCAAAGAAGAGAA